AGTGCAGCTGCTGTAGTATCTAAAAATCAGAAAGCAGTTTAGCATCCGGAAAAAGGGGGTCACACATTGGGAACTGAATTAAAGACTCCTCAGTCCAGGAGAGGCTACAGAGACTACTATCCCTGAATTTACTCAAACCGATAAACACCTCAGTAAACTGCACAGACAGAGCATTTATTTGATTTAAGTGCCTTGTTCCAGAGAAAGGGTATTCCCCATTGCTTCAATCCCTGGAAGAAGGAGGAAAGCTCTATATCACCTCTACAGAACAGGAAACCTTCACATGTGCAAAAAGACTGTTATTTCATTTTCTTCTTGGTCCAAATCATGTCCGTTACTCAATTCTCTTTCCAACTTATTTTTCCCACTCAGACTCTGTCACTGACTCGGCCTCTCTGTCACTTTCTTGTCAGCCTCCAAGCATGCTCAAATACTTTGTACCATTCTAAAAATATCTCTTGCCCTGACACCTATTCCCTTTCACGCTATTTCTCTGTGTATTTCTCTGTCATATTTCTCTGTGTATCTCTTTAGCACACCATATGTCTTAGAATTAGATCTACTCTACTTTTTCAGTGCCCCCACCATTCCATTGTTAAGAAGTCCTCTGAAAACAGCAATCACCTTCCTAAGAGCCTAAGCTAGTGGCTGCCTTTAGCAAGTTTTGGGGTTCATTCTCTTTTACAGATGTAATCAGATTAAAATGAACATTAAAGAAAACTGAAAGCCAGCTGGGTGTGAAGGCGTTTGCATTTGGGTCAAGCCTTTGAGCTGGTGACGGCCCACGACCCACCTAAGACTTTGTAAGTCACCAGCACATAGGTCTCCTTCTCTGACCAAAGTACTAGCCTTAGAACGATTGTCCAGATTTGTAATACCCTAGGAGCAGTTTGGTCACTTTCTTGTACTACTATAGATCTCAGCTATGATTAATGATAGGCTTATGATCTCAGGCTCAAAAAAAAAGATCTGAAGTTTAAAAATCCAGAAGTATTTTAGTCTGGTAATACACTGCTAAGAATAGATTTGACCAGCTTGTTTTTGTGCAGTGCTCTTGAATTTGTTCCAGATTCTTGAATCTGCAGCTGTTAGTCAACAGGTGAAAGTGGATTCCCTAAGAGGAGCTACTATTTGAATATTTTGAAATATTGTGACTCACAGATTTTTTTAAATTGGTGGTTCAGAATTTAATTGTCTTTTAACAATGAACGTCACAATCAAAGAAAACTCAGACATTTTTGGGGGGCAATTGAACAGACTGATGAGTGACCAGAGAAACCATATCCCCTGACATACTATGCTCCACTGTCTATCTGATATGAGGCCGAATGAAATAGAAACAGTCTTACCACACCGAGAAGGTTGTACTGGTGAAGTATGATATCATATGAGGAAATAGGAACTTTTAGCTCTAGCATTAACTATATTTACTTCTATACTTTTGTAAAATTTGGATGAAATATTGTCCCACCTCGTAAAACTATAATTTGTTACGGGGAAAAAAAAAACAACAAACCGATTTGGGCAAAACAGGGGTTTCAGAATCAGGAGGTAGAGCACTGACGAGTTACAGAGTTTTTGAAAAGTTCCCAAATCTTCTCATGCTTCAGTTTTCCTTGTACAAATCTGGAAAATAACCTTTTTCATGAAATTCCAAAATTCTCAACACCATAGGCAAGACTATTCCACCGATAACTTAATTACTGGGAGAATAACTACATTAGGAAGGGAGGAAATTTAATATTCTCCCAGATTAAGTGTCTTGATTCTAAACTTTGTTTACAGGTTTCAAATGGGCTAATGAATCAACCATTCAGTGTCATGGCAGCAGGAACAGTGACAGATGGGCCCCAGCAAGTGCATTGCATATTTTTGCCAGATTTCTCTGACCCTTCATTTCTATGAATTAAAAATCCAAGTGCTGTACCTAGTGCTTCACAGCAGCCGAAGAGCCTGAGGGGATCCCAGAGGGCCAGGGCTTTCCTGGTCTCACACAGGAGAATGGGGTTTCTCCCTTTGGAAGTCTAAAGGAAATGTCCTTATACTTACCTTTTTATCTAATTCTAATGGAAGTTCTTGGCAAGCAAATATTCGTTTTACTTGCAATGAGGAACTTTGGAGTCGAGAAGGTAGAACGAGAGCATACATAAGAAAAACACATTTTACAATATATTAAATTAAATTAAATAGCTGGGGCGGAGAATTGTATTCTTTACAATAAATGGTGGGTCAAATGAATACAATGGATATTAGCACCTACACCACACTCTGTAAAAATAAATTCCAGATGAATAGCAAATCTAAAAGGTAAAACAATATAACTCTTATTTTTTTTAAAAAAAAAAAAAGCATGGAAGAATCATTTCATGACTTTGCAAAAGTAGATGTTGGCTGTCCAGTCCCAAGGAGGGAAAGACTGCACCCCCATGCAGGGGAGCACTGCCACCAGGGTGCAGAGCCCAAGCGGGTGAGGAGCGTGGCCCTGCATGGCTGGCTGGTCTGTGGTGTCAGAACCCAGGGAGGATGTGGAGGTCATCTACACAGAGAGGAGGCCCAGCACAGGGTGACAGAGCCCACATGGAGTGAGGAATGACTTGTCTAAATGGAGGGGTGGTCCAAGATAAGGTCCAGAGTGTAAGCAGGGTAGGAGAGAAGGGGCAGTGTAGGGTACTAGAACCCAAGCAGATGACAAGGGCATCCATGTGGGGACTTTGGGGTGAGACTGGCATTGAAAGAGTGGATATTTAGAAGAGTATCTCTCATATAAGTAAATATATAAAGGATAATGGAAATCAACTTTCTCACTGTTGTTAAGAGAAATTAAAAACATGGAAAGGAAGAAAATTACAAAGAGCACTGTAATAGAGTGGACTAGAAGTACCATGAACTCATCTTTCTCAATATAGATAAATAGATATAAAAATAAATTCAGATGTGAATGTGCATGTGTGTATGTATATGTGTATATACATACACATACAGACATTCCCTAGCTCTGTCTAAGACGGCATGGAAGCAGCTACATGCACACTTAGCACTCACTTCCTGCCTTCTAAAAACCATTCTTCTCTAAAAGAAACCAAGGCAGCTCCTTGGAGAAATGGCTGATTTCAGGGCTAAGGTAGGCAAAGTATAGGATGAGCCTAGAACATCTGAGTATGTCAAGAAAATGAAGAGGTGCTCTAGTGATGAAGGAGACATGTCAAAAGTACACAGAAGCCAGCTGGAGAAACTCCGACTGACCCAATTGGGGAAATTTAAGCAACAATAAAATCATCTTCACAACAGAAAATAATTCATTATAACCCACTGAACAAAACTGGAAATGTCGAGTCCATGAGACTGAGGAAAGAGACATGTCATAACGACTACATGCATGCAAGATTTTGGAATGGATTCTTTGCTTTTATAAAGGACATTATTGAGAGAATGGGCAAAACTTGAGTGGGGCCTGAGGTTTAAGTGGCAGTAATGTTATCAATGCTAATTTCTGGATTTTAATGGCTGTATTCTACCCATATTGAAGAATAGCCTTAAAAGATACATCTGTATATTCCAGAATGATGAAACATCACTTTTTATCTACATTCTCCCTTTAAAATATTGCATTTTATTTAGAGTAGTAATTTAACAGACACATTGCTGCAAACTTTTGTAGCTCTCCAGAAAGAGTTAACTTCATCAATATCAATCATCAGTGGAGAACATAAGCTTTCAAAAATACAACTTATTGAAATTGTCTACAATGCCACAAGAAAGACTGTCAAATCTTCTAGAGACTATTTCCATAGGAAATAAGAAATTACCACAAGTAAACATTGAAACTATCGTAGACTTTCATTTCCATGAAAGCAAACCATATAATTATTATACAATAAATTATATCGAGACTTTAAATTCCTTACTGTGACTTAAAATTTGAGTTTTGAAGTATTTTATATTCTACTTGTAATGGTCGTTATTGCAAAATAAATAATACATACTCATTTAAAACTTTTACAGAAAGAGCGCCATTTTCCGAGTCGCACAAAGATGGACTGTGGCCACGCCAACCAACCCTTGGCTGAAGGAGCTCCCGTTTCCAATGCAGCATCCATCTTTTGCAAGTGGTTTACCCAGGGCACAGGACATTAGCATGCTTTGACAAATGAAGACCTGTGCCTCTGCTACAACTGTCATGTGTATATTTTAATACATTGTTATTTTAAGTTCATTATTGTATATATGGGTCTTCTTTTAACCACAGCAAATAGAAGTCCTTTCACAATATTAGTGTTGGGCCATTCAAATCCCAAAATGCTGAAACTACTCTGATGGGTGGGTTGAAATAAGAGGAATTAAACAGAATAAAGCAAACAATGAATGGTAATAAGAAAAAAAAAAAATGGAAAAGTTCCCAGGTGTTTGCCTGTCTCCAAACATTCTCCTTTCTCCATACAGCTTTGGTCCAATGGGTGCTGTGTTAAGTCACTCTTATCAAGTTTCTGAGTATGATGGTTACCAGAGGGAAGGGGTGGGGGCAAAAAGGTAGAAGGGGGTAAAAGGGGTCAAATATATGATGACAGGAAGGTGAATATATGATACAATACACAGATGAGGTATTATAGAACTGTACACTTGAAACCTATATAATCTTATTAACCAATATCACCTCTATAAATTTAATTTTAAAAATCGATCAAATTCTGGGATAGCAGGGAAGCCACAGGAAGATAAACACCCTAGTAAGATTGTCCCTTGGTTTGGGATGGCACAGCAAAAGGTGGGACCTTCTCACCATGCAGCTGTTACCCTGCAGCTCTGATAGGGCAAGCATAGGAATTCAGGACCCAGGACCTTGAGAGCCCCTTCTTCCTCCCCACCCCCACCCATGAGCGTGCCCCACATCCCCTCGTGGCTTCCAGGCCACCCCGTTACCAGGCAACGGGCTGCCCCGGCGAGAAGCAACTGAGCGGAATGCATGGAGGAAGGCAGTTGGGAAGAAAGCTTGAGCAGCAGAAATGAGCCCGGGTACGAGCCAGGCTTGGGGAAGTGGGGAAGGGAAGGGGGCTGTCCTATGAGGGGGACCCGTAGGCAGTGTGCCGGTAGTGGAAAGTGCCACCTCCCTCGGCCCCGACCCTTTCACCCCAAGATGGGTCCAGTCTGGAGTGCGATCTTCTTGACTAGCTGCACACTCTGCTCACCCCGAGAAGAAAAGCGCGGTCTCGGTCCCCGCGCCCCGCCACTGCTCCCAACCTCCGCACCCCACTGTCCATCCGCAGCTGCGTGACCTCAGCGCGCCCTCCCGTGGCCGTTCAGAGAGTCGCCATCCCGAATCCCCACGCCGCGCAGTCCTCCCAACAAAACCAAAAGCCAATTACGGTTCTGTTACAGAAAAGCATCATGAGGAAGGGGATGAAGTTGACTGCGTTCTCCTTTCAGCGTCCAAGATCCTAAATTCTTCTGAACGAGTAAAGGAAAGTGGTGGCAGTGAAACAGGTAAAATCTCCAAGACCACGGCTCCGATGGCAGTGATGTTTCTGCCTCCTACTACGGGTAACGGGTACGTTGCCTAAATCCACTGGCCCAACAACTGGTGTGCCTCCAGTACATAGGTACTTCCAGTAATTATTATGGTACCAATAATAGCTAACATGGCATATTACCTTGTGCCAGATAGTGTTCTAAACACTTATATAAATCAACTTGTATCGCAAACAACCCTATAAAGTAGGTACTACCAGTTACCCAGATATTACAAGTGAGGAAACTGAGGAAACGAATTGTCAATTTTTTCCAGAGGCACCAAAAAGATATATATATACTTTTCCCCAAATAAATACTTTTATAGTAAATATTTGTGGACTACAGAATATCGTATGAGGAGGATGTTTGAAACAACCAAAGAGCTCCAGTTTTCAAAAAAGCTCCACATAAACAATGAATAAGACATGTGTAAATACCCAGCTAGCAGGATCTGAGAAGAGTGAATTTGGAGCCTCACTTCCTTGAGAGAAGCCCCAGGAAGCTACACACCTCTGAGAGGCCTGGTGTTCAGCGTGACAGCCAGGGAAGTAGCAGAGCACTGTGGGTCGAAGGCAGTATCTAGACTGATGGGCCAAGTTAGGACCCCCAGTTGCCCATACCCACGTGTGGCATATGGGTACTCCAGACACAGAGGTGCTGAGGGAGGTGGCAAGCCAGAGACCTAAGGGCAGGATGAGATTCCTGCACCTTCATAAATCTCGGAACTTCACAAAAGCCTTGTCAAGGGCCCTGGAAGAAGGGGCTAGGGCAGCCACACCTCAGTAGACAAAAGATAGCTGGACACCCAGTGACCACCAGGATAAGCAACATCTCAATGGAGGCCAGCAGGACAGGGCACTGACCTGTCCATCTCTGCTCTTCTGTGCCCCACCATCTATGAGGATATGTAGGCATATCTGTGCAACCAGGAGGGATAATGGGAACCCCCGAACAGGGGAGAAAGAGTCCTCAGAGAGAGTTTAGACATTGAGTCAACTCAATATTTACCTCGAAGAGAGCATTTAAGGTCAGAAGGGATTGTGGTACATTAATTTGGCAAGATCATGTATTCTCTAATGTGAGTAAGAGTTAGGACTCTGGAGAAAGAGGCCAGTGTTTATAGAAAATACAGTTACATGCAAATAGCATGTACGCTTGTTGAAGAGTTACAGTCTTTCTTGCTAGAGCACAGTGGTAACAAGTGCAAGGTCTAGCAAGGACAGGTACTCAATAACTGATAGATTTTCAAGTCAGGCGCTGCCAAGGATGGCAGTGATTTCCTGCCTACAACTAAAGGCAAAATTAGGAAATATGATTTTGTTCTCCCCCTCTTTCTCTTCTCCTATCTACGCTTCATTGTCACCTAGTGACCCTTTCCAGAGTATTAACCAACAGAATATTGACTTGATTTTCATAAATAATACCAAGTTACAAGAGGTTGTATAAGAGCAAGTAGTTAGCCTAAGTAAGCCTCGATTTATTGGAATGAGGATGTGAGAGATACTTTCAAACTTCAGAATGTCCACTGTGGTGTTCCTAGCACTCCTGTTCTACCTAAGCCTTCATTCATTCATTCATTCATTCATCTAACAAATATTTTTGAGCAAGTATTGTCCTAGGTGCTGGAGATCCAACAGTGAACGAAATATGCAAAATCCCTGCCCACATGAAGCTTACCTTCTAGTGGGAGGAACAAAGGATATTGTGTGTAAGATGGAAGTAAATCCTGTAGAGAAAAGTAAAGCACAGAGGGAGCGAGGGAGTATACGGATTCAGAGGTGGGTGGGGAGTATGCAATTCTATTTTAAACAGAGTGGTAGGATCCCTCACTTATCAGGTGACATCTGAGCAAAGACTTGTAGAGGTAAAGGAGAAATCAATGCAGATTTATAGGGCAAGAGCATTCCAGTCAGAGAACAGCAACTGCAAAGGCCTTGAGGTGGAGTCTTCCTGGCATATTTGGGGAACAGCCAGTGTGACTGGAGCAGAATGGTAAGGGGGAAGGTAGGAGAAGGGTTTAGAGAGGAAACTGGGGGTGGAGGCTTGGTGGTCCCCTATAAGGATTTGGGGTTTTATTCTGAGCAAAATGGGAAGCATTGGAGAGTTTTGAGCAGCCATCCTTCCCTTCATCGCGATTGAAAATTTTAAGTTTACTGAATCATCATCATATTGATAATGCCCTTGCCTACACAGTAATGATTAGAGTAAATGCTTCTTGAGCATATATCATATGCTATGTACTGCGCTAAGGGGTTTACATACAAACTAGACACTGCCTAGAATTATCCTTCACAGCAAGTGTGTGGTAAAGCCAGGATTCAAGCCCACCACATGCAGATCGTGACACATCTCATAAGGCTTTGTAAAACAGTTATTTCTAGGAATGAGTGAGTTGTCACAGCAAAACTCAGTTTTTGAAACTGAAAATTACAAAGCTTTGACTAAGAATGTCTTCATATTCAGATTGTACAAGTCTTTTGCATTTTTTAAACTTCATTTGTTCTCCTTGGCCTGTTAGCTACAGTGTGCACTTAATACTTTCTTTGTACATTGAATATGATATAATCTTCTGCAAGCTTCAGAATGAATTCCCTTTATCTTTATTAATTACCTCAAAAGTCATTCCACTGGTAATTATCTCGTTTTTCACTTCTGACACTTGAATATGAAGCAGCTAGAGGATTTAAGTTTAATATAACATAATAATATTTCTTGCATTCCCAAGAGTCTAAGCTTCTTCAGGGCCAGGACGTAATCTTCCGCTTAGTCTGTAGGCCTCCCATATTGTACATTTAGCAGGGACTTAATAAATGGTGACATGTGATTATGTTCTCTCTCCTGTGATTCTTCAATAATTTCCCTTCATATTTTCCAATCATATAATTCTATGTGGTTTTTTAAGTATTGCTGAATTTAAAATTTTTTCTTTCCTTTGGGAATGAGTAGCAACCAGTGTCTCTGAAACTCACTAGAAAAACAAAATATATATATTATATATATAATATATATATCTTATATATATATTATATATATATATATATAGATAGATAGATAGATAGGTAGATAGATAGATAGATAGCTTTTAAAAATAGAAAAATCCAACTCTCTGCCTACTCTATATCTTCACTATCTTCACTGAATCATCTGCACATTGCTGGAGAAAAACACTCACTTCTGAGTCTTACCATGGATCTCAATACTATTGGAAAACTTACCTTATTCCCAGAAAATGCTTTTTCAAACTCTCTCTAAGATAACTCTTTCACTCTTCATGTCTCCTCAAATCTCCAACCTTTTTTACCACTATCTCACAAACTGTAATGTAATCTCACACTATATATATAAAAAAAAAAAAAAAAAAGAAGAAATCAGACCCAAATGCCTTCACCCTCAGCTTTCAAATTTGCTAACTTACCTACCTGGGTACCCACATTCTCTGCCTTCCCCCTGTTTGAATGCAAGGATTGTTCCTGCT